CCTTCCTTTTACTGGTTTGGGTTTTGTTTGTTCTTCTTGTTCCAGCTTCTTTAGGTGTAAGGTTAGTCTGAGATTTTTCTTGCTTCTTGAGGTAGGCCTGTATTGCTATAAGCTTCCGTCTTAGAACGACTTTAATGCATTCCAAAGATTTTGAAGCATGTGTTTTCATTTTCATTTATCTTCATGTATTTTTTGTTTCCTCTTTGATTTCATGGGTGATCCAATCATTATTTAGTAGCGTGTTACGTAACCTCCATGTATTTGTGTTCTTTCTAGATTTTTTTCTTGTGTTTGGTTGATTTCTAGTTTCATAGTGTTGTGGTTGGGAAAGATGCATAGTAGGATTCAGTCTTTTTAAATTTGTCGAGACTTGCTTTGTAGCCAAATATGTGATCTACTCTGGAGAATGTCCCATGTGCACTTAAAAAGAATGTGTGTTCTGCTGTTTGAGGATGGAATGTTATATCTGTTAGATCCATCTGGTCCAGTGTGTCATTCGAAGCCACTGTTTCCTTGTTGATTTTCTGCTTAGTTGACCTATCCACTGATGTAAGTGGGGTGTTATTTAAAGTCCCCTGCTATTATTCTATTATTATCAATTACTTCCTTTTTATTAACTGGTTTATGTATTTGTGTGCTCCCATATGGGTGCATAAATATTTACAATTATTGTATCTTTGTTGAATTGTTCCCATTATGATTATGTAGTGTCCTTTGTCTTTTGTTACAGTCTTTGTTTTAAAGACTCTTCTGATTTAACTATTGCTACGCAGGCTTCCTTATCACTTCCCTTTGTATGATAAATGTTTCTCCATCCCCTCACTTTCAATCTACATGTGTCTTTAGGTCTGAAATGAGTCTCTTGCAGGCAGCACGTAGATGGGGCTTGCTTTTTTTATCCTGTGGATGATGGATGTCTTTTGATTGTTCAGTCCATTTACATTCAAAGTAATTTTTGATAGGTACATACTTACTGCCATTTGGTTACTTGTTTTACAGTTGTTTTTGCAGTTCTTTTTTCTTCTCTCGCCCTCTTTTCTGCGTCTCCTGCTCTTGAAAGCAGTGGCCTTATGAAGGGTTGTCGTGTCCTGCTGTGCAGTGTCTCGGTTCACCAGGGCCTGGCCCTTCAGAGGTGTGCCCTGTGTGTGTTGCATGCGCCCTCCTCTTTTGGCTGAGCTGCATTTGCCTTCAGTCCAGTTGTCTGCAGTGGCTCTCCTTGCCTGTCTTGGGCAGGGACTGGTCCCTGTGCTGCTGATGGGCCAGTGTGGGGCCACGCTGGACTTGAGGTGGGTGAGACCTGGCATTTGCCAGAGCTGCAGCAGCTCCCAAGTATAGGGCACGCTCTCCGCGCTCCGCGTCGTCCTCTGAGAAGCGTGTGCTGGTGGGTCGGCCTGCAGTCAGCCCCGACGTGGGCCCCCAGCCCATTGCTGGGGGCTGTAGTCAGACGGCATGTCGGCTCCCTCCCCGTCTCCCCAGGGCAGGCGTCACTTTGGGGGTGATGTTGGCACAGTGCCAGGCTTGTGGCACCACTTTCGATGGGCTCTGGCCAAAACGGTGCTGGAGGGGGTGGGTAGCTCCGGAGCATGTGGGGGCAGGGTGTGTGCCGTCAGCGAGGTTCCTGAGGGCCTCCTGTAGGGGTGGGCTTGCAGCTGAGCTCTGGTTTCGGGGCTGTGTTAGCAAGGACGGTATTTGTGCTGCATGGGTCCACAGGTGTCTGTGTATCGAGGGCGGGGGTGGGGGAGGGAAATGGTGCCTGCGCTCTTTTGTTCTTGGAGAAATTTCCCAAAGATCTTTGCCTCTGCAGCACCCATTTTGAGACTAGGAAACAAATCTCCCTGCTGTGTAGCCCGGGTGTTTTGCAAAGTGCTGCTTCTGTGCGGTCTCTTTAAGGCTGGGGACCCCGATTCCCCTCACCCTCCAGCTCTCCAGTCACACCTGCGAGTTTGAGAGTTCCAGGTGTTCGGCCCTACGGATGGAAGAATTTGTGGAATTATATCCCTCTGCTTTTCAGAGCCAGATGCGATGGGGCTTTGTCTTCCCTGCGTGGGTGCCTCGGGAGGCTGGCGTGAGGCTCTCTTTCCAACCCCTCTCCATGCCCATGGAGTCCCTCTCTCCGGGGACACTCCTGCAGGTCGGGTTCATTCCCAACTGTGTCTCCACCCTTCCTATACCCTCTTTGAAGTGGCCTCTTGTCTGCATGTAGCTGTGCAGTCTGTCCTGCCGGTCTTCAGGAGGTTTTCTGGGTTATGTATGCTGACACACTGTGGGGGGTGTCTTGCTGTATCTGTGTGGTGATGTGAGCTTCGGATATTCCCACTCTGCCATCTTCCCTGCAAGTCCAGGAAAATGATACTGAACGCCATCGGGGTGAATGACATTGTTCATAGAGGTGGGGTACACAGAGATGGGAGGGCCATGTACTTGGGCAAAGCAGCGTCTAGAGCTGGCGGGGGGTGGAGTCGAAGGGAGTGACCGCATGTCACTGGACGGAGTTGAAGGAGGTGACTGTGTGTCACCGGACAGAGTCAAAGTGGGTGACCGAGTGTCACCAGAGTCGAGGGGTTGACCACCTGTCACTGGATGCAGAAGGGGGTGACCGAGTGTCACCAGAGTCGAGGGGTTGACCACCTGTCACTGGATGCAGAAGGGGGTGACCGAGTGTCACCAGATGGAGTAGCAGGGGTAACCGAGTGTCACTGGATGGAGTAGAAGGGGGTGACCGTGTGTCACTGGACAGAGTCAAGGGGGGTGACTGCCTGTCACCAGACGGAGTCGAAGGGGGTGACCATGTGTCACTGGATGGAGTAGAAGGAGTGACTGCATGTCACCAGATGGAGTTGGGGGTGACCACGTGTCACCAGAGTTGAAGGGGGTGACCGAGTGTCACTGGATGGAGTAGAAGGGGGTAACCGAGTGTGACTGGATGGAGTTGAAGGAGGTGACCAAGTGTCACCAGATGGAGTTGAGGGGGGTGACCGAATGTCACTCTCAGTGCCTCCTCTTAGGAAAACAGGACCATGTTGTAAAGAATGCGTAGGATTCTTAAGAGTCCCTAGAGTCCTCGGGTATCAACTGCATACCATATATCATTGTATTACAGCAAACTGGAATCAATCCCCTGAGCAGAGAATGTCAGCCCCAAAGCGGACAAGAGTCTGTTCCTATCTCATGGCTTTCTTACCTGCTTCCCTGTGGCCAGAACTCACCATCCAATATGGTAGCCATTAGCAACCTGTAGTTGTCTGAATGTAAACTGATTACAGTGAATTAAAAATCTGATTCCTCAGTCGCACTAGCAATATTTCATCTGCTTTACAGGCAGGAGTGACTAGGGGCCACCACGTGTAGAATATTTTCAACGTCGTAGACAGTTGTGTGGGCGGTGCTGGCCAGAGGACCTGCTCACAGTCATCTACACCGCCCACGCCATCCACCAGGCATGCCCATGGCCATCTACACTGCCCACGCCAACTGCCAGGCCTGCTCACGGCCATCTACACCGCCCATGGTCATCTACACTGCCCACACCAACCACCAGGCCTCATCCCCATGTTCACTTGAAAGATCTCCTGGGGGTGCCTGGAGACAACTGGGGGCTCAGTTGGTCAAGCGTCTGCTTATGGCTCAGGCCATGATCTCAGGGTCCTGGGATGGAGCCCCGCTCAGTGGGGAGTCTGCTTCTACCTCCCCAGCCCCACTTGTGCTCTCTCATTCTCAAATAAATAAAAAAAATTATTTTTTAAAAAAGGAAAGATCTCCAAGGGGATAAGCCAGCCACTGTTCTGCAATTGTAACGTTTGGCAATATACCACCTGCCCCCTTACGTTCCCTATTAATCTGTATGTAGCCAAATTACCTTCTAGCCTAACGCAGATCCTGCTTATGTACATTGTTGTTTCTATAGCCCTGTTAGTTTTTAAGATCCAGGGGAACAGCTGTTTCTGCGTGGTTACTTCAGTCTATGCCTGGAAGAGCCCCACTTGAATGCGAGCCGATGCATTCACTCAGTGGCCCCATACTTGCGTATACCATACAGTGCTTTCCCAATGCCTGCTGTGTAAATCTTAAAGCCTCCGGGAAGGGGTTCCCCTTTTAAGTAAACACCGAGGGGGCCTGCTAGATAACCGCTCATCCTCTCGGATTCAGACTTCTTCTTTTCTCATTCCAAAGTGCTCAAAGCAAGCTCCCGCCGAACCACCCATGGCATCAAAGCGTCTTCCCATCAGCAAAGCTCCATCCAGCACTTGGTGGGAACATGGGGGATGAGATGTTAGTGGCCGAGCGGCGCCCTTTCACACCCTTGGATGCGCGGGTCGGCGAATAAACCTGACACTGGCCAGACCCCTTTTCCCACACTGGGCGAGGTGGTCCGCATCGTTTGTCTGAGGGCTGGCCCAGAGTCCAGCGCTGTGCAGGGAATACGCTGCCTGGCCCGGAGAGGACAGGCTTGCAGGGTCAGCGTTCTGGCCTGCACTCCCCAGCAAGTCAGGGTTCGGGGGATCACACACGCGGCCTCGGTGCCAGGGCAGGGGCTGCTCCAGGCCTCGTGCGGTGGGAACGCTCCCGTGCGCGAGGGCGTGCATCCCGGCCTGAGGACAGGCTGTCGATTTTGCTCGGGTTGCACGCTCTCTCAGCTTTCGCCGCAAACTGTAGGACTCACACTTGCAGTGATGACTCCCCGTTGCGGGAACGGACACTCCCCGCCCAAGGGCCATCCTCTCCTGTCGGGGTGCGCTCGGCCCAGAACCCGGAGCGGGGTCCCCCCCCCCCCAACACCTCGTTGCAGGCGTTCTGCCGTGACTTTCCTGCACTTTCTCGCACCGTACCCGGTTCTCTCCTACAATGTCTTCCTGACGACGGCCAGAGTCCTGCAGCCCGGCCTGCGTCCTCCGTCCTGTCACCCGTGGAACCGCAGAGCGCCCCCTCCCGCCCCCTCCCGCTCCCAGAGCAGCGGCCCCGGTGCAGTGTGGCCCCAGCCTGTACTCTCTCTGGCCTTTCAGATCCCAGCGTCAGCCGATACCATGTGTGGTGGCTCCCGGAGGTCTGTGCTCACAACAGAAGCAGCGGCGTGGAGACCTTGTCCGGCATCACCCAGGTGAGCGGCGGCCCACACACTGCCCACTTCTCGCCGCTCCCGGGCTCCACTGGGCCCACGCATAAGACACACGGGAAGGTGGGCCACCTGTATGACCCACCCAGAGCTCGCTCCCCGCGCGGGCTGCTGAGTGGTAACAACATACCCGGGAAAGCAGAACGCTCCTTCTGCTCGCTCGTGCCTTCCTCCGCTCACAACCTTCCCCGGGAGCTCTGTCCCGTGTCCGCACGACGCAGCTCACAGGACTTCTGCAGAGATGAAAGACGCGCTTCCTAGGGAGCTCCCAGGTCAGAAATGCTTCCGAGTTGCTGTTGTGTCTCATCTTGGTTGGACGACAGGTTTGCATTATTTTCAGAATCTCGGCACCACGACCTAACGTTTTCTCTGCCGACTTCTATGCGCCCCCAGCGACCCTTCAGCGCCTTGCTTGGGCATGTCCCTGACTAGCAGCTCCTTGTGCAGGGCATGCGACGTCTACCCGACTCACGGCACCGACACTTTCCTGACTGTTCATTCTGAAAGAACATTAACTCCTGGGGGATAGGAACTCTGGCAGTCCTACTCCGTGTGTTCTTCCAAATAGTTAGGGCGAACGAGTGAATTACAGAGTAGGGCAACAAAGAATGGTTAAGACGGCGGTGGCCTGTCCACGGTGGTGGTGCCAGTGAGGAGTCTATAATGTAGCAGCTTTAAAACACCCAAAGGCACGGCCCCAGCTGTCTAATATGTTGGTCTGTGATCTGTAAGGAGAACGGTTTTCTTTTGAATATTTCCTAAAGCAACAAGTACAGTATTTTTAGAATCCTGTGTGATCATGTAACTTTAAGATAGTAAAACAAGTCAGTGGGTTTGCAGAAATACAGTTTTTTACTGGATTTGACTTGTCCCAACGCATGCTCGCCAACGCTATTCCTTTTATTTTTCCCTAAGCTGCCTCCAAAGTTGGGGGCCTTCAGTAAAAAAAAAAAAAAGAAAGAAAAAGAAGCATTTTAAAAAAGGGAAACCTACTTGAAAACCAGAGGAAGAAATGAACAGAAGCAGGGTTTATTAAATTGTTTGTGGGCACGGGCGAGGCTTTTAGTGGTTTTACTTAGGCATGCCTTGCAATGGTAGGAAATCGGCCTTATTTTCAGGGGCCCAGCCAACCCTTGGCTTCTCATCTCTGCAAACTCTGAAGGTAAGAATAGGCTGAACCTGTATAATGTGTCCGGTAGAAATAAGAATCAAAAACCACTTTGCTACGGGCTTAGACCTAGCCTATTTGCATTTGTAAACAGCTTTTAGACCCACTTATTTTGAAGTTAGGATGGAGCATCAGCTAACTCACGTCTTGCTACAGATGTCTGTGTTCCACGCCACATGAAAGCATTCTTTTTTTTTTTTTTAAAGATTTTATTTATTTATTTTGACAGAGAGAGAGAGACAGCGAGAGAGGGAACACAAGCAGGGGGTAATGGAAGAGGGAGAAGCAGGCTTCCCGCCGAGCAGGGAGCCCGATGCGGGGCTCGATCCCAGGACCCCGGGATCATGACCTGAGCCGAAGGCAGATGCTTAACGACTGAGCCACCCAGGCGCCCCCACATGAAAGCATTCTTGAAAACTGCCAAGCGGTGTTCTTGGTGGCTCACGTGGGCTTGCAGTCTGTTCCCATGTAAAGCGTACATTACCCCCTGCGGAGAAGCATTTCAGGCACCCAAGGGGACGCAGCAGGCCTGCGAGGCTCCCTGCTCACCCTCTGGTATGCACGGTGCCCTGCTTTGGCTGCCTGCCTGCCTGTGACCCCTGGGGAGAGGGCCAGTGGCTCCCGGGTGCGCATCCTCCATGCGCATTTCCGCTCCAGCCCGGCGCGCACGCCCCCATCCAGCATACATCCGCGGTGTGCATCCCCCTGCCATGCGCATCCCGCCCCCCCCATCTCCCACTGCCGACTCCAGCGACTGGCGGAATGGGCGGAGCCTCAGCTTGTACCCGTACCGCGCTCCGCGGCCTGCGCTTCCCCCCTGACGCACGCTGCTGTCTGGCGGGGTCTCCAACCTGCACCCAGACCGCCCCGGACGGAGGCCCCGTGTGCGTCCTTTACACGAGGGCATCAGGCTCTGACACACCCCGGCCAGACCGGAGAAGCAGAGCAGGCAGATGTAAAGGGAACAGACTTGCCCACTTAGGACAGCCCCAGAGTCATGCGTCCCCGTTCGCGCGCAGTTCTGCTCTCAGCCTCCTCCTCGGTGCGCCCGCGCGCGCGACCACACCGGTGTGGCCCGAAGCAAGAACAGCCCTCCAAGGAGGGCAAAGAATACATTGCCGAGCACGGTCTTCAGTTTTCAAAAGGCAGACTTACACAGGGGTCTCCGAGAAGCCCGAGTTCCCTTTTTCCTCGTGTCTTAAAAGCAGGTTTGGGCTCACACTTGGGTGGCACCTTCGCGGCCGGCATCCGGGAGCGCGGGGGGAGGGGGAGGCTCCCGGTGGTCGTTCCTCACAACATGCACCGCGTCTCCTTTGCGCTTTTTATAAAAGCCACAGTGCATATATAGGAAAACACCCTTGTGCCACGAGGATTTCATCTCCTGCCATTTTTTTTTTTTATCCCTAATGGGACTTATTGCTAGCATATTCTCGCTCTCTTGCTCTAGGACAATTACATAATTCTTCAGGGTCTGTCGTTTTCCTGCAAATACAAGGTGACCGTCCAGCCGGCCCGGCCCGCGGGCCGCTTGAAGGCAGAGACCGTTTTCTTTACGACGCCTCCGTGCTCAGCCCTGAAGGGGAAAAGCTACAAGCACGTCCGCTGCCCGGGCGAGGCAGGTACGTTCACCCCAGCTTCCAAGGGCGCGTCTAGGGTGTGGGCGACACGAGGAAAAGGTGTCCAAACGGACTTGGCGAGGCCGGAGAAGCTTAAAGTAGCCTCCTTCCAAACTGCGGTCGGATGGCGCAGGTGGGGCAGCGACGTGCGTGCGGCTGTAGGCGTTACCGCAGTGGAAGCACGTCCTCTGCTCGCAGCATTCCCCCCTGCGAAACGAAGCAAAGGTTTGCACAGCGCTCGTGCTTCGGCGCACTCTGCACATTATTCCATTTTTATCCCGGCCCTTTGCCAGGCGAGCTGCCTTCATGCACGTCGCACAGCAGTGCCGCAGACCCCGTGTCTGCGCGCATCCCCCTCCTGGCCGAGGCCCCTGTGCGGCAGCGGGACGACTACCCAGGACTTGGTCCGCGCGGCCCCCTGAGCCCCTCCGAGTGACTGAGTGCGACGGCCGATCACTTCACCGTCCGCCCTTGGCGTGGTGGTCATGTCTGCTCTCGGACCAGCCGCTGGGTCTTGCCACGCGGCAGAATTCCCTCTCCGTCTTCCACCCCCAAAGCAGGGTCCTGAAAAGAATCCCCAAAGCACCCCAAAGTTGCAGGGACAAGAGAGACTCTGGCTCACTGCTCACTGACCGTCCCCGTAGGGCAAAGGGGTGGTTTCCGGGAGCCGTGCGTGGAGACCGAGCTCAGCCTGCCTGTGCCATCCCCACCCCCCAGCGGCCGCCCGGAGTGCCCACGATGCGTGCAGACAGGCCCCATGTCCACTCCTTGTCCAGCAGCCTCAGCAGGTGCTTCTGTCCGCCTTGCTCCAGGTCACGTGCCGGCCAAAGTGCTCGCCAAGCCCGAGAACCTCTCTGCCTCGTTCGTCGTCCAAGATGTGAACATCACGGCCCACTTCTCCTGGAAGATGGCCAAGGCCAACCTCTACCAGCCCATGACGGGCTTCCAAGTGACCTGGGCTGAGGTCACGACCGAGAGCAGACAGAACAGCTTACCCAACAGCATCATCTCTCGCTCCCAGATTCTGCCTTCGGTAGGTGCCGGCTCAGCTCCTCGGTGCGCGCGGCTGTCCCCATTGCGCACGGCCGCCTGCTGCGGGAGGGGGGCCCTTCCGCCAGGCCGCGTGCTAACTAACTACTGAGCCTTCCTGGGGCGGTTTCTCCTTCTGCATGTAGGAGTTTGCAGGGATTAATGACACATCACAAGCTGAGCAGCGTACACGGTCAGCTCGATAAACCCTGATTCTCCAGCAGCCTCTATCCTGTCTTGCATGCAAGTGATTTCACAGTTTGTTTGTTAACCCCGTGTCCCTCTGGTCCAAGTGGACGTGCCCTGTTTGAAGTGTTAAATTGGGGGAAAAATAGCTAAAAGCAGCTTGTTGTTTCTCTCTTTTTTCCCCATTCAAATTTGGCTAGAGCCCATAATGAGTTGGCCTGTCTTCCAGGCCACTTAATTCCTTCGCTTGACAAAAAAACCCATGTGTGGGCTTTTACCCTCTCTAAAAATGCCCTTAGGATATCCAACCCTGGCTCTAAAAAGAAAGCAAGAGAGAAAGAAAGAAAAAAACCTTAAGTCCGGAAGGAAAAATTGCTTGGAATTAGAAAGCAGTTATTCTATGAATGTATTAGGTTTTATTGAACTTTGAGAAGAATGTGTTGGCATAAAAATAAACATTTTCAGTTATGGGCATTGACAGATACTGTGTTTTAAGGGAAACAGTTGGCTCGTTTCACTGAAATCTGGATTATCAAGAATTTCACATCACAAGATGTGCAGATGAAAACTTTAAACCATGGGAAAGTCCTAGGTTAGGGAGTAAAAAATGAAATCCCAAGGGTGAGCCTGAGAACTGGCACCTCGGCATAGTCTTACTCTGCCAAGTGTCTGGGGCTGCCCAGACGGGGCGCGGAGGGGGAGAGGACGCGGCCGGGGGCTCCCGCGGAGTACGGGCAGCCACTGCTTCTGCTGCCCTCCTGCGCTCACCCCTGCCGCTCTCCGTGCGCTCTCGCTTGGCCGTGCACGCAGCCCTATCGCTCTCCGCTCACCCCTGCCGCTCTCCCCTGCCGCTTTCCGCGCGCTCATGCCTGCCGTGCACGCACCCCTGCCACTCTGCGTGCTTGCCCCTGCCGCGCACGCACCCCTGCCGCTTTCCATGCACTCATGCCTGCCGCACATACACCCCTGCCGCTCTCCCGCGTCACCCCTGCCACGCACGCACCCCTGCCGCTTTCCACGCACTCATGCCTGCCGCACATACACCCCTGCCGCTCTCCGCGCGTTGGCCCCTGCCGTGCATGCACCCCTGCCGCTCTCCCGCGCTCACCCGCGCTCACCCCTGCCGCTCTCCCGCGTCACCCCTGCCACGCACGCACCCCTGCCGCTTTCCACGCACTCATGCCTGCCGCACATGCGCCCCTGCCGTGCATGCACCCCTGCCGCTCTCCCGCGCTCACCCCTGCCGCTCTCCCGCGTCACCCCTGCCACGCACGCACCCCTGCCGCTTTCCACGCACTCATGCCTGCTACACATGCACCCCTGCCGCTCTCCGCGCGTTGGCCCCTGCCGTGCATGCACCCCTGCCGCTCTCCCGCGCTCACCCGCGCTCACCCCTGCCGCTCTCCCGCGTCACCCCTGCCACGCACGCACCCCTGCCGCTTTCCACGCACTCATGCCTGCCGCACATGCGCCCCTGCCGTGCATGCACCCCTGCCGCTCTCCCGCGCTCACCCCTGCCGCTCTCCCGCGTCACCCCTGCCACGCACGCACCCCTGCCGCTTTCCACGCACTCATGCCTGCTACACATGCACCCCTGCCGCTCTCCGCGCGTTGGCCCCTGCCGTGCATGCACCCCTGCCGCTCTCCCGCGCTCACCCCGCGCTCACCCCTGCCGCTCTCCCGCGTCACCCCTGCCACGCACGCACCCCTGCCGCTTTCCACGCACTCATGCCTGCTACACATGCACCCCTGCCGCTCTCCGCGCGTTGGCCCCTGCCATGCATGCATCCCTGCCGCTCTACCGCGCTCACCCCTGCCGCTCTCCTGCGTCACCCCTGCCACGCACGCACCCCTGCCGCTCTCTGCTTGCTCCTGCCTGCTGTGCACGCACCCCTTCCCCCTCCGCGCGCTCGCTCCTGCCATGCACTCCTGCGGCTCCCCGCGCGCTCCCGCCTGCCGTGCACGCACCCCTGCCACTCTCCCGCGCTCCCCCGCGCCCCCCCTGCCGTGCACGCACCCCTGCCGCTCTCCGCGTGCACTCACACCTGCTCTCTGCCGGGGAGGAGCCGCTCAGAGGACGCGTGCCCCCTGTGCCTGTCCTTTTTGAAAGGTCACTGACGCGCATCTCCTTTTGTGTGGCTCCCCCAGGACCATTACGTCCTCACGGTGCCCAACCTGAGGCCGTCCACGCTGTACCGCCTGGAAGTGCAGGTGCTGACCGCGGGCGGCGAAGGGCCGGCCACCATCAAAACCTTCTGGACGCCCGACCTCACGCTGCCCTCAGCGGAGAGTGAGTGTGGGACGCACAGGCAGCAGTGCGCGTGAAACACTAAGTTTATCAGCGAGCCCCGTGCCCCGAGGAGTTCTCTGGGTCGGAAATTCGTCCTCCCCGCGAGGATCTGCGGCCCGGGTCGTATTCCAGGCGCGTCACCATGAGTGCGCGGCGGCCGCCCTCGCTTTCCTTCCCATCCTTGCTTTGGTTTTCCACACGGATCGTGCTTTCCCCGTGTCTTTTACACCATAAATACATACGAGGGGGAAAAAAAATCTGTAAGTTCCTATCAGTCTGAAATTATTTTAAAAATGAAGATTTTCAAATATGATGATATAGGAAATAGTTTGCTAAGGATTATTTTCTTATTACACACGTTTTGCTGTAATACACTATATGAATTTGCTTCATAGTATGACCCCAATCAATCTACTGGATTTACTGCCAAGTCAACTACAGTTTTTTGTTTTGTTGTTTTAAATGTCACCCATTGTTTCTAAGCAGTCAGGCTCTTGCTGATTTTTAAATTATGTGCTTCATCTTTTTCCAGCTTACACGTATAAAGCAGTGCCTAAAGGTTTGTGTGTTGATAAGAAAATGGAGAAGTAATCCTGGTTTTACCTTTACAGTTGTAGAAGCACATTTGCCCCCATCAGTTTTCATGCCTAGAATTTAGACAGAGCTCGGGATGGGAGAGCGCCACGGCCCCTACCTTCGTCCGGGGTCAGTGCTTTCCTGATGCTCCTCCTTTGAAACTGCGTTTCCTATGCGTACTGAAGTGTTTTTACGCTCCCAGGGGAGAGGAAGGCCTTGGCTTGCTTCTCTAACTGTATGAGCCAGGAAAGGAGCTTGTCCTAGTCCTGTGATTTTATGAACTTGAGGGAACGAAGGAGAGAAAAGAGGGGAGGGGGGTTCAGAGCAGGAAAGACATGGATGTAGGAGGGAGCGCTCTGTGGGTGTGACCCTTTCACCGCCAGTCCCCGGCTTCCCATAGAGCAACATGACTGATACCTATGTCCTGTCCCCCCTCAGGACCCCATCTTAAACCTCGGCATCCTCATCATTACAAGCCTTCTCCAGAAAGATACTAAACAGCTCAGTGTGTGAGAATCAGAGAACGAACAAGCTGGTTGAGCTTCACGGTGCAGACATGCTGCTACGAAGCCAGCAGGTGCCCTGCGTGACCTCCCTCTCCCATGTAACCTTGTGCCCTGGGTCCCTCTGCCCATCTCAACGCAGCTGGAAAGGAGTGACTCACAGCCGGTGGGGGTGGACACCCACTTCCCAGAATGGAGGCCCATCGAACCTGAAATCGGAATATCCACGAACGAGCCTCTACTGAATAATTGCACAGATGACATCTCCCTGGATTCGGAGCAGGAAATTCTCAGAACAAATCATTGTAACAAACACACAGTGCATACACATACTAAGCATAACGTATATCAATAAAACATTTTTAAATTAAATAATTGCTTTGATTTGCAAAATCAAATAAGGTGATGCAGTTTGTAAGCCCTATGTATTCAAATCTTTCGTAAGATTTATATAATGTGTGATTTATTCTTAACCTCAAATACATAGCAGTTAAGTTCCATCTATGATTGTCCACACCTGCAGCCCCTGAGCCCCGGTCACACGAAGGCGAATGAGCATCTCGTGTGTGAGCCATGCTTTACGAAAGGCTCCCAAAGCAGGGAGCATTCAGTGAATCCACTGCTGTCCACAGTCTGCCTCGGAGAAATGAAAATGCTTTTCTGGGGATACGTTTTCATGCTTCATCCTATAAAATGAGAGACCTTTCCGATATGTTTTCTTATTTATATTTTCCTCTTTCCCTCCATGCAGAAAAGAACTGCTGGTACACTTTGTTTTACCACTTCATGTATCTCAAAATTTACAGAGCCTTTTGCTTAAAGTGAGAATCCCAACTGTTGAATATTTTCCAATCTCTACTAAGATTTGCCTTTTCTTAATCAAAGTAAGCTATCTGAATGCTAGAATGTTCTCGGTAACGTAGGACAAGAGGCTTTGATTGATAGAGGACAGCTATTTGCTTGCCTTTATTCTTTCAAACCTATTCTGTGCGCCTGCTTGGCTCCAAACGACCCTTCCCAGCATGGACTCGGGTCGGAACCCATCATCAGTCCGTGGTGCTGCCAAGCACTGGGGCAGCCTTGCACCCAGAAACATTCGGTTTCAACCAAGTTTTTCTTGAGGGAATGGCCACAGATGTGGTTTGGAATAGGCATCCATGTACGTCTATGTACAGCGGAAATTCTCTTCACGGCTCACCAATGGTGCAGAAAGATCCGGTTCTTGTAAAGGGAAGGGTCATGTGTTTTTCCCGTCGGTGTTTATTCTGTGAGGAGAGAGCAATTTATCAGCATTTCAACATCTTAAAGGAACGGCTTCCTCCACTCATTGTGCAGCTAACTCAATCGGGGAAACGTCTGGGACCATTTTCTTGGGTTACGATGGTGGCACTGGGTACCTGCCGTGTTGTGGGTTTCTGGAAGCGGGCAGATGCAGAGACAGCTCGAACTCCTTCACTTCACCAGTGTCTGAAGGCAAACGTGCTACAAAATGGAGACAGTATTTTTATTATCAGATGGATGCGTATCTTTAGGAAACGCGGTCTGTACCCATGGATACGTGGAAACAGAGAGTAAAAACTGTCTCCTGGGTAGCAAAGAGTTACAGTGATGATGCGGGCAATGTTTTGTAGCTTCGTACAAGTGACCCTCGTGGGAAAGACCAGCATGAAGGTGCATGGGCTTCCAAGTGCTTGTCCGCGGCTCCTGACGCGGTCGGGACGGACTCAGCCCCATGAGGTCCAAAGTCCCCTGGTTTCTCACGGAGAGAACCGGAAGCACCCCTCGTTTCCAAGCACCCCAAGCTTGACCCAACACCACAGGTATCTCCGCGGAAACTAGGATTTACGCCAGTGCCATGGGCTGCATCTGAATGTCAAGTTCTCAAATTTTCACAAATGAAGACGTCTAATATTGGCTACAAGTTTATCTTTACCCTGAATTTGTCACGAACAAATCCAGTATTTGTGCCAGCAAATTTCTGTACTGTTGTATAGTTCAAAATGCAAGAGTATACACATAGATACGAAATATTATTAAATTATTATGTAAGTTTGATTTTATAAGGTTTAGTTATGTGTCTTTTGTCTGGGCAATAGACAATGAGCAAATACATTTTTAGTTTGGATGAAGGTTCTGAAGCTTACACCTTCCTTACAAAATCGAAAGCTGCTCCTGTGAGCATCTCATTCTGCAATAACAAAACTTAAATTTTATTCACACAGTTGGAAGAAAAATGCTGTTAATTAGATGATTAAGGAAACAGGAGTTTCTTTTATGAACTTCAATGACCTTCAATAATATGCGAATCGGCCAAGATATAATTACTTTCTTTTTTTAATTTAAAAAATTTGACTGCCCTAATAAAGGGATACAATCTATGGGTTTTTTTCTTTAAACATTGTTTTAGTGGCTAAGTCTCTGTCTTATTAAAATTAAATGCGTCTCTCTCATAGGAGACACATTGTCTCTCCTAGGAGAAAATATATATTCAGTGATATTTACTTTTACCGATGGAGCCCAAAGTTCAAGTGTAAAGGTACGTCTGCATGCTAGGAACCTGAACGAACCTATAAGTAATCACACAGAGCGGGCTTTGTCCACGTCTGTGTGGCTGGCAGGGGGGCCCCAGCCGTGCACCGTAGGGGGCCCAGCGGCAGCTCTGGCCTCACCCACCACATGCCAGTGCCCCCAAGTTGTGACAGCCCACAGTTCTCCACACATTGCCCACTCGCACCTGGGGGAGTAAGCCTCCCCTGGTTGAGAATCCGTGCACCGGAGAGGGAGTGATCTTTACTAAACACGGGAGAATCTGCCTCGTGTGAGGGACCCAGGAAACTGTAGGAGCCGAGCAGGAGCCGGGAACTTGGACTGCAAAGCCCTGAATTGTGTCTTTCATTGTGTCACTCAAACACCTGATGGGAAGACTGAATTCTGACGTGTCTCTATCATCTGAGTACAGATATTTTCTCCTTCGTGTCGGTCAGCGTCACGTGTGATAATGACTTATTTATTTAATGCCCTTTCTTATACCTTGGGCCATGGATTTACTAATTACGTTCACTCTTTCCCATGATTGCAAATAGCTCTCAATCTTGTTACACAAACACTCACATTGTAACCAGCACACAAAGGCTGAATATCTGTTGCATGTTCTTATAATTCATTTAAAATAATAAATGCATAAAGATGGTGACTCTTACCTATGGTTGTGCATGGCCAGACTCCGTTTCTTGCCTCTACGGAGTATTTTAGCAAGTTACACAATTTACAGAGTGATTAACAGAGGTCTGTATGTAAAGTAATTATTATTTCTTTCCTTAATTATACTGTAGTACACAGATAACAGAACAGCTACCTTCTCATCCCAATGGCCTATAGAGATCACATCTCTTCTACTGGTCATTTCAAGTCAATATTTATTTATGTATGTAATAAAAAAAAAAGTGATTCTTGTGTGTGTCATGTTAGAAGTAATCTTGTAAAAAAATTTTGTAAAAACAAAGTATTGTAAATAGTCTGATATTCTGTGACTCATTATTTTCATGTTAGAGTTTGTACATACTGATTCAGTAATAAAGCATCCTTAAACCTGCCCAGTGGACTAGACTCATTTATTTAAAAAAAACACTTTCATTTTTCCATTTTTTTCCTACGTTCCCAGGGAGACTGAAAAAGTCAGTATGAATGGAATTTGAGGTGTGGTGGGTGTAACGAGACAGCACTTCATCCTAGTGAAAGTGTTTTGCGGTTTGAAAATCAACACTTAAGAGTTCTTCCATTATATTCATTTAGGACCGGTATTGCAGATGGCTTTGGGGGAGGTTTTTTTTTTTTTTTTTTGAAGATTTATTTGAGAAAGAGATGGAGAGTGTGCACACTTGAGCAGGGGTGAGCGGGGGTGGGGGGGAGAGGTAGAGACAGAGAATCTCAAGCAGACTCCCTGCTGAGCACAGAGCCTGATGTGGGGCTCGATCTCATGACCCTGAGGTCATGAAGAGTTGGACACTCAATTGACTGCACCCCCCCCACCCAGGCACCCTTTGGTGGCATCTTTTATCAATAGTCTACAATTTTAAAATGTCCCCCCCCAAAATGTATCCATAAAATGCCAGAGGTATCTGGTGCTTCTAAGCTTCATATCTTTTTCAACACTACGCACTATGTTGAGGGCTTCCAGTCTCCAAGAAGAGTTTTTTGTTTTTTTTTTTTTAAGATTTATTTATTTGAGAGAGAGAAAGGAAGGAAGCGGAGAGAGGTAGAGGGAGAGAGTCTCAAGCAGACTCCCTGCTGAGCATGGAGCCAATGCAGGGCTCGATCCCACGACCCTGAGATCACGACCTGAGCTGAAACCAAGAGTCAGATGCTTAACAGACTGAGCCACCCAGGCCTTGCCCCCTCACCCCCCCCCACCCAGGAGTTTTGAGAGTTTCCTGCATTCCTGCTGGGACATCAGTGGGCCCGGAGCGTATCTGCTGATGAATGAGCAGAACGGCGCCCCAGAAAATGTGACAGATAACATGGTGTGATCCAGGGGAACCTGGATCTTTTTTCTCCTCCACAGTCACCCACTTAACTTATACATTTATTCAAGCAACATCTCCTAAGGTTCTGCTGTGTGCCTGGTCCCGTCCTGGAGGGGGGACATCGCCGACAGAAGCAAAGCTCCCTGTTTGCAGGGGTTCTCATTGTACTAGGCGGAGATGTGACCCATTAGACGTAACAACCAACGAATCATAAGTGATAAATGGAAACACTGAGAGGCGGGGAGCCCGGGGGCTGTGAGCTCTGGTCAGAGAGGGGCCAGGAAACCACGTTCAGGGCTCATGCACGTTCTTAAACATCAGTGCGGCTGCTGTGGGCAGAAGAGACTGTGGACACACAAACACGGGAGTGGAAGATCAGGCCTTTGTGCAGGTGAACCCAGGACAGCAGATTAAAATTCTGTGGCCACAGCAGATGTGCAGAGAGCCCAACTGGTGGGGGGTAAGTTTTGGAAGTTGAACTGGTAAGACTCATACGAGGAGGTGAGCACAGACAGGAATAAAAACCTGTTCTACTCTGCAGGCAGTCATGTTCCAGTTACGATGGTGACGGGGTCTTTAGGCACCATTAACAATACCGCGGGTGAATCCAGACCCCCGAGGTCACATACGGTGGGGCTGCATCTTTACCCGACGTGTGCCCTCGGCAAGTCCACGGACACAGCCAACGCGGGGGGGCAGCCGGGAGCTGGGGATGTGCATGTCTGCTCCGCGGGCGCGGCGTGTGCCTGTGGAGTTAATGGGCCAGGCTCTGCAACCACACATTGCCAGGGTGCCAAGCGCCACTGACCCGTACGATTTTTTTTTTTCAAAGATTTTATTTATTTATTTGAGAGAGAGAATGAGAGACAGAGAGCATGAGAGGGAGGAGGGTCAGAGGGAGAAGCAGGCTCCCTGCCGAGCAGGGAGCCCGACGCGGGACTCAATCCAGGGACTCCAGGATCATGACCTGAGCCGAAGGCAGTCGCTTAACCAACTGAGCCACCCAGGCGCCCTGACCCATAGGATTTAAAACAGTTCGTTCTGTGTTATTACGCGAGTCTGTCTTCCACAGAAAACACAAGTAATAGCGCCTCAGTTCCCAAGAGCGACGCAGGTATGTACTGTATGAGTTGTCACGTAAGCGCAACTGACTGGCCCACAGCAGTGGGGGGGATGCGGGTCCTTATGTGCGGGGCAAACGGCCTCTCTGAGCTTGCAGTGCGAAGTCAGCAAACCTGCTGCCCGAGAGAGAGTTCTACTGGTCTCCACCCTGGACAGGAGGTGTCAGGGGCCTCCTGAGCACAGCGCAGACCATCGGGTGACACCATCCCTAAACATGGTGGCCAGAATTCTCACGGGGCCAGCTGCCGGGTGCCACTGTCACCACGGGAGTGACCTCGCCCCGGGCGCCTCCTGCCCTTGATGTTCACGCTGCCCGGAGCCCTTGTCCACTCCCTGGCCTGAGGCTCCACGTCCCGATGAGCTGCGTGGCCACCCCACCTCCAGCTACTCTCCCCTCCTCACCCTCCATCCTCCCATCCACCCCTTCGAAGCACTTCCAACTCCGCTCCTGCCGCCCTCTTTCAGTCCCCGAGCCACACTGCGGGGTCTACACGCGGTCAGGGCAGCCGGGATGCCACGGCAGAGACTCCTAACCCAACGAATCGTTTTCGTAGTGTTTCCCTTGGGGAGGTGTTTTCACACAGCGGTGTCTTGGTTAGGGCGTGCACAGGTCTCGTACACAGAGCAGCGCCTAATGCAACATGTCACGTAAGGAGAGGCAGCTGTGGGTGACGGAGAGACCTTTACAACTGCAAGAACTGGGTCCTGTCTCGTGGGTGGCACGGGGAGCACGCCCGTCCCTTCCCCGCCTCGGCTGCCAACCCAAAGCGAGGATTTCGCCAGCTCGTGGTTACTGGGAAGTTGGGTTTGCTTTATGCAGGAGTGCATGCGTCCGTGCATGCGTGTGTGTGTGTGTGTGTGTCAGGTCACCGGGGGTTGCAATCTCAGGTCACCGGGGGTTGCAGTCTCTCCGACAACGTAGTGCAAGTACCAGGCATCGGCTTGGCTGTATTTGTTCCAACACCGTCACATCAGCTCCGCGGGAGTGACGGGCGGAACTGCCGAGTGAGATGCGGACACAGCGTATGTCAGATCTTCATCATGCAAAGTTCCGATCTGCAGACGATAATACAGCCGGGAATTCACCAAAACACCCCAAGGGTGAAAACGGCATTCAGAGGCCAGTGGCAGGTGAGCAAGGTAGTGAGAAGCCCTTGCGGGAGATCCCAAGGGAGACCCGCGACGCCAGGAGCAGAAGCCGAGGTCTGCTCCCCAGCTCTCGCCGCGACCCATCGGCTTTTACCCTCTGAGTAAACCGTAGACTTGCATGCACTCGTAAGACGTAACAGAGAGACATTACCACCCTGGACCTTCGCCCAGTTCCACCCACTGTCCCCAGTCCGACAGCACAGCCCGGAACCGGCGTCAGTCCCGGCCACGGCGCTGGCCCGGACCTCCCTGGCCGTCTCTGCACACACATGTGTGTAGAATTCTGCATGATCCCGTGATGTGTGTACGGGCCACTGTGTGTGAAGCAGAACATCTCAAAGACGCAGTGACGTAAAGAAATTAATTTGAAGGAAGTATTGTGTATTTTTGCACATTTCCCTAAGACCGAATGCCATTTGCTGTATGCTGGTTTTAAGTATTAACGTTATACTGGAAGTGATCAAGTCAATATGCATTGTATACTGTTTGGAATTTCAGTCCATGAACTGTATTGTGAAAGGGCTACATGCCTGGCAAGTCTGTCCCCCCAAAATCTGTCTTGTTCATGAAACTACATTTAAGTATAATTAAAATCTATAGATTTGAAAAGTCATTCCACAGACTAACAGTAATCTGGGTGCATATCTATGGTCTAGAAGTGGATTTGAGGGAGGAAAAAAAAGGAAAGTGAACTTCAGTATTCTTTAGAACTGTAAACACTGCCAATGTAGGAAAGAGATTCCGGTTTCAGATTAACGCAACCCTTAAACACTGGGTTTTGAGTGACCGCCTCTGGTGATCAGCATGACCCTGGGTCAGCCACTCTCAAAACGGGCTGCCAACTAGAAGCCCCGGGGAGCGCTGAAGACGACCAGTGTCTCGGGCACCTTCAGATCTGGAGTGGTGTGGACAGTAGGGCTATTTTCAAGCGTCCCCAGCAAATTCTAGCATGTGCCTGGTGTGGAGAACCCCTCTTCCAGACGATGAGGAGATACGGAGGAATGATCAATGGCATAAACGTTCCTGCTCACAGAGCTGAAGACATGACACGTCCTGCTGAAGCTTAACATTCTGAGTGCAGCAGGGTGAGGTTTCTCCTCAGCGCACTCTCTGCTTCCCTAAGCTCAGACGCAGACGTGGGTGTGCAGGCAAATGCACACGTGTGGATACATGGAGGGACACACGTACACGCATGCATCACCCCCTCAGTCCTCTCTGGGGTGTAACTGCGACCTTACTGTGGGGCAAGCTGAGAAAACACATGGGTAGTCAAATGGAGTTTGGATATTTTAGCGTGTTGTTAGTGGAAATTACAGTCTTTCCTGCCCTGGTGAAATGGCTTTCAGAGAGGCAGCTTGGCGTGACTTAGATGAAGTCAAAGACAGCCGATTAGAATCGATCCGTCAGTGAACTTCCAGCACCAGATTGTGTGCAACCCAAAACTGATGCTGATTGACCTTTTTGTCCAGATATCTCCTTCCTCATCTCAAACAACAGCTCATCAAATGCAACTGGGATCATTACGAATAATGGAAACCATCCCTCATTCCTTTGTCGAGTGGACCCTCTGGGTATCTCGCTGGGTCGATCACAAGGCCCTCTCTGTAGTTTGCTAAGGAACAGCTAATAGAATTAACTCCTGGAGCTAACATTTCCTGAGGGCTGACTCATGGTGAAGCACTTGGCTAAGTGGGCTATTTGCATGAGTTCATTCATTTCTACAACCATCCGAAGGGCCATGGCAGCATCTTAGAGCTAGGGGGAGGGAGAGAGAAGTTGTTAAGTCAGCCCCAAATCA